GGGGCAAATTGCTTGCCCCATGCCCCAGAATTTGTATGGGCCACTAAAAAAAATTGCCCCGGGCCCCCGCCAACCTCTCGGCGGCCCTGGTAGTAACTTCAGATAACACCCACAATCTCAATGCAATAGGCTACATATTTACATAATTGTATATCAGCGGTCTAACCAACTGAGCTATAGAGACCAGTTGCCGAGCTGTAACTTCAAGTTCATGTATATAATTATATATATAGATTTTTTCGGCTTTGTGAAAAAGCCCTGAAATTAAAAAACCTGCACAACTGAAAATATACATGAACTTGTAATTACAGCTCGGCAACAGGCCTCTGTGGCTCAATTGGTTAGGCATACATGCACCAGAATTGCAGGGTCGTAGGTTCCTAGTGTTGCAATTTTTGCAACCATTCCTGGTTTAAGTTTTAATTGAATTGTGTATATATATGCTCACTTGGATTATCCACCAAATCCAGCATATATTGCCATGGCATTATCAATCAAACTATATTATTATACCTTAAATATTAAAAACATGTTGATTAGCTCACAGTTCTAGGCTAAATATTTTAGGAATTATGTATCAATATACTGATTTTTAAGCATTTTGAAAAAGCATATTCAATATATTCCACCAAACTATACAGACTTACTTCGAAACGTTTGTCAGTACTGTACATATAAAATAAACATAGTAAACTAGAAGACCTCAGACTTGTAACATGTTATTTATAATATTTATGCTGTTGCTTGACAGACAAATTTCACATACATTGGCGTTAAATATGTTCACTTCAATTCATGCCATTGAAATTCGATACTATAAATCATTAGAAATCGTCGCTACAGCAATAATCCGTATAAAATATATGATTTTTCAAAATGTAAAAAATATTGTCGAATACTCGTGTATAGTACAAACTCTCATATTTTCGTTTTAAATCTTCACACGGAACCACTTTTACCATAAATACAAAAAGCGGCAAGAGCTGTATATATTGCCAAGCAAAATACCATCAAGGCATTGCAGCAATCGCACTTGTTGGTCGCCATGTTGAACGTGCTGTGTTGACACACAGCAGTCTGGCACTATTTTCTGGTGAGATTCTCAGATTGGCAAGATTGGTAATCTGTCTAGTAAAACACTGCGCCTGCCTCACCAATCTGACAGTATTTACACTGGCTAGATTCCCGCTAACCGCCATGCTCTAAAACTCAGAGATCCAGTGCAAAGTTCATATGACAAATGATCAGAAAGCAATGGGTACAACAGCAAAGAAATGGCTATAACACAGTAAAATCGAGTGTATCACATACATGATAGTAAAATTATTATTATGATTCACACGTAAGTATAGGTAATAGCATGCACAAGTGAGTTTTTCAAAGATCTCAAAATAGCAAGAGTCCGAAGGACGAGTGCTATTTGAGGTCTTTTAAAAACTCACAAGTGCATGTTTATCCAAATTTCACGAGAAACCATGCTATTACTTATTAATAATTTACATAAAAATGTTCGAGACAATTGTAGTTTTAACTTATGCATTTATAGCGAATATTCCACCGGGAAACTTTTCCTGGCTTTGTTATATCACATTATACAATGCTAACAGCTTGAAAATTCCACTCAACTATGTAATTGTTGTTAGTCTTGTTTAATTTAACTCTTTATCGACAGACGGTATTGTATTACATAATACGAGTCAATGTTTGAATGTAAATATTTCTGTGAGTATTGACCCCCCCTTTGAAACTAACACCACCATTGGAATCCTCACAAAATAACCTTTCGAACGGGGGGTCGAATGCCATCAAAACATTACACAAACCGAAACAATCTTATATTTACTCACCACTTGGTCAAACATTCTGCATTCCATATCATGAAAAAGTAGAATATCCTGAACTTTTCGTTGCTTCACATCGGCTATATGAGTAGAATACTCTTTATCTTCAAGCGCTTTCATGTAGAAAGTTTGGTTTGGATACGGCAACTAGAAATATTTATTTTGAATTTTTCAAGATATCGGGTTTTATTCGCATGTGCGTGTTTGCGTAATACTTGGCCAATAAGGAGCTCCTTTAGCCCGGGATGACGTCAAACGCACACATATAGGTGCAATTTGACCTGTAGAATCCATTTCTGACCTTTGCAGAGTTATACGATACAATCCTCGCATTGTTTTGACGTTTTTAAATTTATTTCCGGTTCAGATTAAACACACAATTGGGCCAGAAATGGAAATGCTGTGTACTTTTGTCAAATTCGAAGATACAGACTCGCAAATGACTCCCGAAATATGGCTGTTGACATCGATTTTAACAAGACTATTACAAAGATAACAGGTCCGAAGGGGCCGAAGTTATGTTCGGCAAAAGGTATGGCTAGTCTATATTTTTGTTCAGACAATTGTGTAATTTGATAATATACGATCTCGCTTGACTTTCAAAGTTCATAAATCACTATAAAGTTGACATAGACTAAAACTATCATTAGGAATTAGTAGAGAATTTTATACTGAATCAAATGGTGGTATTTTCATCTAAATAGCATTAACTGAACCGAAGATATGAACCTTGAACAGTACTATTCCGATACTGGAATAGTTTTCTAGGACCCTGTTGAAAAGGAGTTAAGGTAAATGCTTTTCCATTTAAAAATAAAGATAAAAGCCATATTTTCCATGCGAAGGCAACTTTTACTTTGTGTAGCGCGGCACCATGTTTGTTTTGTTTAAACTAAATTGCTTTAAACTGATTGGTTGATGTAATCATCACAATGTTTTTCCACCAATCAGATAAGTTTGTTACAGATTTTTGCACTGTGATTACAGAAAATTGCACTGTGATTACAAAAAATTGCATTGTGATTACAAAAAATCGTAGAAGAGAGTGATGGGCAATTGGAGTAACTAGACGATGCCAGTCATGAAGAGGACGATTTAGGGGAGAGCGAAATCCCATATGCAAATGAGCGCAAGGATAAACTAGGGATCCAAGGATAGTGCAAAGTTTAAAATTGAGAAAGACACTGCAAGTGTATGGGGGCAGAAAGTGGAAAACGCGGGTCTCGCTAAAAAAGAATCTAGGAAAAATAAACTGTTTTGAAAGACTCCATATATTCCGCACTCCGTATTTTCCACCATGTCCTCTGTACTCTATAATCATTTCTATATTTAGAGAGTCAAACCCACACACGAGCCACGGCAAGCGCTGTATGTGTGGTTTCAGCACAGTATATTACAGGCTTCTGTAGTTTCAGTGTACTGAGTGTCTGAGTATAGCCATCAATTCAGTGGTGTACTGTAGCACCAATAACATGCATAACATCAATGTATTATTGCGTAGAATCTCAAAGATCTGCTCAATATTCACGTCTGAAATGTTTATATATTTGAAAGTAACACTGTCTCACTCCTTCCTAGCTCTGTATAATGAACATACCATCAAAATAATATCAGCACTAAATTAAATGCCCGTAATGCATACAAACAATTTATATAATGGGTAGAATCTCAAAGATTTTCTCATAATACTCTCAACCTCAGTTGTAATACACTCTAGTCTGCACAATTTCACACCGCCACTCAATAGTCACCGCTCGTCCATGTCCGCCATTGGAAAATTATATTATATGAGAGCATGTGTATTAATTTATTTTATGTTGCAGGGGTCAAATCATATAATAACAAGTGCTTGAAACGGTAACAGTAATTTGGTTATAACTTCTGTAAATGTTGGATAAAATAAGTAAGAACATGTACCATCATGAATATAAATTTTTATAATCTATAAACAGCTATAAACGATTAGTTGGCCCACATTTTATTAACTGTGCTTGGCTGAACGTCGCGAAGCTCTAGAAAACGTTATAAAAAATCATTTACAAGCTACCCCCGGTTTGTTTACTCGATTGATCGATCCGTTGATTGGTCACTGGATTGAATTTTTATCATAACAAATATTGCCATGATATTACCTACTAAATTTGTATATACGTTTAAAACGAAATAACATATTCTTACAAATTAATAACTGTGTGTTTATGTAATCTGACATGGTTTCGCTATATAGTATTACCCTATTTCACTATATTTGTAAAGCGCAAGTCACACCGTGAGTCAGGCTCAGCGATTGGCGCAAGCTGTTGCGATTGCCCTGCCAGTTTTTGCGTTAACGTTAACTGTTTAAATCTGGCAAAGTTAATAAATTAATATTTATCCAAGAATATTAATACTCGGGCAGATTGACATACATAGCCTGGAAGTTAAGTATTGTCTGATGGTGTATCGAATCAGTATTATCGAGTCTACTGGGATATGCTGGTCACCCTCTGTCTCTGGCTAGGCCTGAAGAATCGAGTGTAAATTATTTCAAGCTTCAAAAAAGTTCACTTATAAAGACAGCAATATTTTTTTAGTAAATGTTCGTATTACCGTGTGAAGATTTTTCTGACTTGAATAATTCCTCTTCAGCGAATTCCATGACACACTATCTTTAACTTCATACATGAGAAATTATTTGTTACACACATTCCCACTACCAATTTTCTCCAGTGTTATAGTTTGTTTTTCAAATAGCTTCAAAATGTTTTTGACATTGTCGATCCTTTTCTCCAACTTTCTGTTTAATTGTCTACCACTTTGTTCTTTATAGTCACAATAAATAGCACTAATTGCACCAATATCATTAAATTTTACAACAGAAGGGTTCTCTGTTAATTCAACAAGAAGTTGACCATCAGAATGGTTTGCAAGATAATTACAAACAAAGCCACGAATAAACCCATTCGACTTTTGTTTTGGACGTGAACCTGGAAAATGGAATAAAGAGACAAAATGAGTTGATCAATACAAAATTATTAATTTGATTATAAATTCTATAAGCACAGAATTGCCCCAATTGCACGCTTCCTTCCCGCTTTCGAACACATCCCACACGCTCGTTTTTGCTCTGAAGACTTCACTAAGCTATGGCCCTTGACATTTCTACCCAGTGGAACATTTTTTTACGGCCACTCGGAGCACTAGAAATCTTTTTGTAGCCGTTATAGGTCGAAATAAGTTGTCTTGCCAAAACAAGACGGAAATCTAAATGTTTTAGGTGATGGCGTCGATCAATCTGCAAGTTTTGTAAAATGAAACCCGCTTACAATCGAAATATTCACGAAAAACCAAGCCAAATATTTCCACCACTTTTTAGATTGAGCTCGTACAGGGTAGTAGCTCCTATACTGGTCGTTTACGTCCACACCGTTAATATACTTATTATACAATGATATGACGTCTCATTTCATATTTCTCTTATAAAACTTTCATAATGTAATAATTCGCCCCGCTCCAGATAAATACTTATTAACCATCGAATAACTAGTGCAAATCTAATACTACTTGCATTCGGTGTTTGTACACTCCAAGCATTGTGTATAATTGCAAGATACATTGCCGACCCAAAGTTTTATCACAGTTCACACCGTAAACATTAAAAGTCATACCAATCTCATTACCGCTATAACCGATCTTTCTTGATAATACAAATTCACAAATATTAGCATAATAAACCCCATCAACTATAATATCACATTGTTGAGAAACATTAACTCCGGATAGTATTGAAGAATCGCATTTATTCTCTATTAACCCTCGAATAATCCAATCATGATTATTAAATTCAAATCTCTGTTTTCTTGACATCATCACATAGACGAATTAGAAAATCGGAAGAAACTAAAATGCCCGTTTGATCTACAATCTTTTGTATTCTATGCATAATATTGTCACTTTTTGTCATGACATATAACGTGGACTCAAGAAGACGGTGTCTAATTTCAAGATCTAAAAATGGAGTGTTAAAAAATTCACGATTATCACCACCAAAGGTAATACATACACCCAATCGACGACTATAGAGCATACTGTTTGAAATGTCTACCAATATTATTTTATAAAAAGCTGTAAAAATTCCCAACGTATAACTTTCATGATACAAAACATATCTTATTGCTTTGTATAAATAATCATTATAATACCAATCCAACGAGCGATTCTAATGCCAATGTTGATTTCTCGATATAAATAAAATCTCTGTTGAAAGAGAATGAAATGCTAACGCCTGAATACGTTTATCAAACTCACCTAAATTCTCAGAGCCCATAGCATTGTGTGTGGGTTGCTGTACAGGATCAAATTGTTCCGTTGCCATGAATTTAAACAACTCCATGACAATGTCAAAACATCCATCACAAGAAAACAAATATGCCAACCCTGTCATAATTAATCATATTATGAATAACAAGGTCAAACTTCCATTGTATCTAAAAAATTCAATTAACATATAACGTATCATCAATCTAAATCGTACGAGACTCATCGTTTAACTGTGTACAGATATATCATTGTTTTGACCATATAAGGTAATCTAGTTCAAACAAGCCCCTTTCCTGATATGGTAAATGAACTAAACATAAGCCCTAAATAATTTTATCAACGTTTATTCAACATGATGTGTTTGACACAATTGGATAAAGATTTTGCAAAATTCCTCAATTATCACGGTACAAACTATAGTGATCCAAATCTACTCAAATATCGTTCTATGTTCACAGATTTTTGTAAATTCAATGCATTTGGACAATATACTTTTAACGAAGCCTATGTACGATGGATACACAAAAACCAAAATACAGTCATGGTCCCATACATAACCAAAGCGTTACCCGTCGAAGCAAATTGTCTAAAATTCTAACAAAAAACCCCACAGCACCACCACCACCCATGGCTCAACTGAAAGACATCGATACACAAGCCGATGAAGCTGCGAATCAACTGATATCCACCTACCTAAACGATTCATTCTTCAACAGTTTACCCGAAGAGCTGGTCATGACAACAACAACAACAAATCCCTTATCACCACTTTCAACAATATCTCCCCACGCACCGCCGCCAACCGAAAAACCAAAATCCCCTCCTATTGCTCAAAAAAATATTGAAAAAATGAAAGAAATAGGTAAACCCACAACTAAACAACGACGCGTGGCGAATATCACGCCTCACACCAATGACAATAAAAAATGTCCAGGCAGACCCACACGACACGAAACATTGACCAAAATCGCTAATCAATCCGATAAAGAAAGCACTATATCGTCAAAAGAATTAATTCTATACACACTAGACGGTAGTGTAAAGAAGAAAAAAACAGTTCTTACATGCTCACAAGATGATATCAAACTACAAAATATGAAACATTATAAATGCTATGAATTCATCACCGATATGCAACAAAAAACATTAAATTCAATCAAAGAACATAAAGATACTTTAGAATATCTCATTTACATGGAAAAAATGTTAGAAAAAAATATTTTTAGTGAAAAAAACGTAAAATAAAATAACTTTACTTATAAATCTTTAACTTAAACCAAACAATGTCCTTCTTTTACCCTAATTATCCCTTATCACCATCTATTACCCCACACAAACCCAATTACCCCTCATCCCTCACTGCGCTCCCATTGGTCCGACACGCGTGACGTCACTGCACCATTAAATGACGCACACTTTCAAAATCCCATCACTTTAGTCGACCAAGGCTTTGGATGCACATCTACATGACCGTCGCCATAGCGACGAGTCGGGTGTGAGGACCAGAAAGACATTAACAAACACCCACACATTAAACATCAATTAACCACTAACCATGTGACCTACAAAATCCTATTAATTTCTTGCTGGTTCCCACCCCCCAAAAAAACCAAATATATATAGAACACTACTGCCATTTTTTGACAGGTGGTCATATTCAATGGGGCCAAAAAACAGCATTTTGGATTTGAATTTTACTTTTTTGTTATTTTTAAGTTAAAGAAAGATAAAACTTATTAAAAATAAAACTTATAGGATAATGGCATTAGTCAACAGAATTTCTGAGCCCTATCAGCACACTCCCGGTCATATCAACATGAATAAACCCCGGTAAACTTATCATTTTATCATGGGGTATGAAACATTGATATTAGAATTTTAGGGTTTGTAATCCAAGTGAGAATATATACATTTTAAGACCTAACCAGGAACGACTGTGAAAAATGCAGCACAAGGTCCTCTGGTAGGAATTGAACCTACGGCCCTGCGATTCCGGTGCAGCGCTCTAACCAACTGAGCTACTGAGGCCAGCTGTTAAGCTGTAACCGTAAGTTCATGTATATATAGGTAATCGGGTGTGCAGGTTGTGATAAGGGGGACTTCAATGATCTGGATTCTTGCACTTCACTTGGTGGAATTAATATTAGAATGTTAGGGTTTGTAATCCAAGTGAAAACATATACATTTTAAGACCTAACCAGGAACGACTGCGAAAAATGCAGCACATAACTTATGGTTACAGCCTAACAGCTAGCCTCAGTAGCTCAGTTGGTTAGAGCGCTGCACCGGAATCGCAGGGCCGTAGGTTCAATTCCTACCAGAGGATCATGTGCTGCATTTTTCGCAGTCATTCCTGGTTAGGTCTTAAAATGTATATATTCTCACTTGGATTACAAACCCTAACATTCTAATATTAATTCCACCAAGTGAAGTGCAAGAATCCAGATCATTGAAGTCCACCTTATCACTGTCAGGGACTGGGAACTATAGACATATTAGGAATGATTAGTGTGACGTCACAGCCTCGTGGGAACTGAGAAATTTTAGAAGTGAATGTGATATAGCCCGAGCGCTAGTGAAATATACTTTGTGTAGTTTTGTTTAACTGATAAAATATACTAAACTGTTGTGACGTTGTCGGGGAGTACTATTCAACGGAGGCGAAATTCTCTACACAGTGGCACCTCCGACGGGATACTTACCGCAAGTATTAGAAACGAAGCGTTGGTGAATATGGGGTCGACCGCGTTGGAAACAAAGCTAACACAGCTAAGTATGGCAACGAAAAGAACTGCTAACATTTTGGATGCAGGTAAGATCGAGCCGATTAAAAGGCACCTCGAAACGCTGCAAGAAAGAGGACATTTCCGACATTAACACATGGAATGACGAAATTGACAAGCAACTCGAAACAGCCGACAATGAGGTCAAACGTCTTCAGGATTGGCTTGATGAAAAGGAACATACACAAAAGTTTGCAGGGCAAGAGGAACAGAACAATTTCAGTTTGAGATTAAATTGCATGAGAAAAAGCTACAAATGCAAACCGAGCTTGCTAACATGCCTAAAAATACACCGGAAACAAAGGAATGCGGGGCATCCTTTTCCCAAACAGCAAAACTCCCCAAGTTAGTCATCTCTAAGTTCGACGGGTTGCACATGGATTGGCCCAGGTTTTGGGGTCAGTTTACTGAGGCAGTTGACAAGAGCTCTATTCCATCAATCACTAAATTTACCTATCTATGCAAATTACTTGGCCCAAGGGTAAAATGATGTGTAGAAGCCTTGCCCTTTACCCCGGAGGGTTACAACCATGCAAAAGCAGTGCTAAAAGACAAGTACGGGAAGGAATCCAAGATCATTAAATGTTACGTTAAAGAAATTATCGACCTTCCCCACATAACGAGTTCAAACCCGAGAAAAATAGCGGAATTTAGTGAGAAACTAACTTACTGCGTGCAGGCACTTGAGACAATGAAAAACTTAATCTTGTAAACGGTAATGTTTCAATGACGCTAGAGAAGTTTTCTGGCATTCGCAGGGACCTAGCAAGCTGGGAGTCATGGGATTTTAAGTTAGTTGACTCTCTGCATCAGTGGTTACGGAGAAATCCTGTTACTCCGCTTGACGATAGCTATCATGACAATTGCAAGAAACTATTCCAAGCATGCAAGGAATTTAAACCCAAGGGTTACATTTACTGTGGGAACCCGGGACATAAGGCAGTTCAGTGTGACCAAATAACTGAAGTGTCTGAGCACAAACGGATTCTGGCGAGAAAGGGCCTGTGTTTCAACTGCGCAACAAAACCCCATCGCGCAGCCATATGTTCTAGCAAGTCGTCTTGTACCATTTGCAACAAACGCCATCACACCTCTATATGCGATCAAGTTAAGACTAAGAGCGATGACAGTCTCAATAATAATAACAAACAGACCGAGAAAGGGCCTGACAAGAAGTTGATGACGGATGGTGCAAGTGGCGAAGGCATTTTTCCTATAGTGGTTGTAAAGGTTAACAGGATTACCTGCCGCGCTTTGATCGATTCTGGCGCCAGTACTTACGCGTCTGCGAAGCTGATAAACCTACTCAATGCAAAGCCAAGTGAGATAAAACGTCACCGTATAGACATGTTGATGAGTTTGTGTTCATCACTAATGGAATCCAATGACGTGAACATTCGTGCTAGGGATGATAGTTATGATATGAATGTGAGAGTAACAAAAGTCGAAAAGAGTCGATTACTGTCAATCAACAACCCTGAATATCGTAAATTGAAACAATGCTACAAACACCTCAAGCTTCTCCCAATCGACGATGACGACACGAAACGTCAACTTCCTGTTCATATTATCCTTGGCAGCGGGGAGTATGCGCGAATTAAAACTGACGAAAGGCCCGTCGTTGGCGGAGATTGTGAACCCATAGCCAAGAGGACGAAATTCGGGTGGCTCATCATGAGCCCTGGGGCTGAGTTCGACCATGGAACGATGCTGCTGACCCAAACCTCGCGGGCAGATTTCGAAAGTCTATGCCACCTGGATGTTCTCGGGCTTTCAGTTCCCCGGAAAGCGAGACACGGTTTATCAAGACTTCAAGGAACAACTTGTTAGAGATCCAGCGGGCTGGTTTGAAGCTGCTCTTCCTTGGAAATCTGACCACCAGAACTTGCCAACAAACGAGAATGGAAGTACACGACGATTACACAACTTAGTGAAACGGCTCGAGCATAACGGTATCTATCGAGATTATGACAACATAATTCAAGAACAATTGCGACAAGGAATCATCGAACCAGCGCCAAAGGAGTGCACCGAGAAAGAATTTTATATCCCTCACAAGGAGATAATAAAGAAATCTGCTGAGACCACCAAACTTCAAATCGTATATGACGCCTCGGCGAAGGAAACCAATTCACAACCCTCGTTAAACGACTGCTTAAACCCAGGTCCAGTTTTGCAAAAGCAACTTTGGAACATTCTAGCTCGTGCCAGTTTTTCTCCGATTCTGCTCGCCGGTGACCTGGAAAAGGTGTTCCTGCAGATAAGAATTACGGAACTAGAACGTGACGCACTGAGGTTCCACTGGAAGGCTCCCGGAAGTGGAAACATCAAGATTTATTGATTCACAAGAGCATTGTTCGGGTTAACCTGCTCTCCATTTTTACTGGGAGGAGTGCTCAGTGAACATCTAAATTCATGGGAAGAGAGACGTCCAGAACTAGTAAAGGAAATATGTGACGGCCTTTACGTTGACAATTTGAGGATGGGGGGAGCGCAAGTCGGAGAAGTTGCCGAAAAGAGAGTCAAGGCTATCGAAGTTTTTGAAGACGCCACCTTCAGACTTCATAAATGGCATTCTAACGTAAGAGAGCTTGAAGAACCAAACGATCAGCTTAGCGCAGTTGAAGAACCAACATTTGCCAAGCAACAGTTGGGATCAAATCAGGACGAAACAAAATTGCTCAGCCTCCCATGGAACAAGTCGGACGATACCTTCAGTGTTGTGACCAACAACGTAGATGTTGCCAACACTAAAAGAGCTGCACTCTCTCAACTGGCAAAGGTATACGACCCCCTCGGTCTGGTTTCGCCAACAACATTGCTCGGAAAATTACTTTATCGTGAGATGTGCGAGGCAAACTTCACTTGGGACGGGGAGTTTCAAGAAATATTTAGGCAGAGATGGAAAGAATGGTGTGATCGAATGCCCAAGTCCTTTAGTGTGCCACGACCGTTAGCACCTTACTTTGAACCTATAGAATCCATTACACTACACACATTCGGAGATGCAAGCAAGTTGGGAGTCGCAGCCGTCGTTTATGCCGTTGTCGAACAAGAACAAGGTACAACTGAAGGATTGGTTTGTTCAAGGTCTCGTTTAGCGAAGAAAAACCTTACTATACCTTGGCAAGAGCTAGTGGGCGGACACATGGCGGTAAACCTTGTGTCCAATGTCGAAACAGCAATCGGTACTGAACAACAGTGGAATCCTGGAGTGTCGAGGGTGGATCGAAGGCGACTATCCAGTATATTTACCTACGAATACGGTCTTCATGAAGAAAGTTGTAGAGCAAGCCCATATCATTACACTTCATGGTGGAGTACCGGCGACGATGGCAGAAGTATGAGAACGTTATTGGGTGCCTAGACTACGCCGTCTTGTGAAACAGATACGAAGAAATTGTCATGGTTGTGCTAGATTCCGGGCACAATTGTAAACCGCCCCCGGGCAGATTACCACCA